CGATCTGGAATCGTGCCATAACGTTTGTTTTTGGATTTCAATACCGCGAACCAACAGCAGTGTTACACCCGCAGAATCCCAAATCCTTCAACACGCAATTTCTGGTACGTTGATCATGGGAATCAGTGAAAGTCTTCCACTTTTTCAAAACGAATGCACGCGGCGCTAAGGCGAAAGCCACATTTTGAAAACCACCCGCCCTCAATCCGTGAAGCTCTTGCAATTTTTGGCAAAGAATGTGCGCGGCGCTAAGGCGAGAACCACATTTTGACAACCACCCGCCCTCAATCCGTGAAACTTCTGCAAATGTTTAGAACGACGCGCGGCGCTAAGGCGAGAGCCACATTTTGAAAACCACCCGCCCTCAATCCGTGAAGCCCTTGCATTTTTTTGCAACGAATGTGTGCGGCGCTAAGGCGAGAACCACATTTTGAAAACCACCCGCCCTCCATCTGTGAAGCTGTTGTCAAGTTTTGAAGTTCAGAGTCATACGTGGTGAGGAGGTCTCAGACGAAACGCCCGGCCCGCCCTAAAAACTGGCTTCGGGGTGAGACAGGGAGGAGTTATCTATAAGAAGAAGGAATGGAGGAGCAGGAGGAGGAGGAGGAGGAGGAGGAGGAAGACGAGGAGGAGGAGGAGGAAAAGGAAGTCGAGGAGGAGGAGGAGGAGGAGGAGCAGGAGGAGGAGGAGGAGGAGGAAGAGGAGGAGGAGGAGGAGGAGGACAAAAAAGAATGGAGGGAGAGGAGGAGGGAGGAGGAGGAGGAGGAGGAAGACGAGGAGGAGGACGAGGATGAGGAGGAGGAGGAGGAGGAGGACGAGGAGGAGGAGGATGATGATGAGGACACGAGGAGGAGGGAGGAGAGGATGAGGAGGAGAGGGAGGACAGGAGAGGAGGAGAGAGGAGGAGGAGGGAGGACAAAAAGGAACACAGAGGAGGAGGAGGAGGAGGAGGAGGAGGAGAGGAGGAGGAGGACGAGGAGGAGGAGGAGGAAAACGAGGAGGAGGAGGAGAAGGAGGAGGAGGAGGACGAAAGGAATGGAGGAGGACGCTAAGATCACCGATGGTTAGTTTCAAAAACAGAGGGTTGAGCCGCATCCAGCGACAGTCTGGCCCAAATCTCCCGCTGAGCGGGAAACCTGGGCTAGGCCGATGCCTGAAGCGGCTCGGGTGGGCCAAACTACGCCTCACCCCGCTTGAATTTCTCGAGGAAGGCCACACCCGTTGGCGTGGCCTGTTTGCATTCTCTGAGAAGATCCTGGGCGCTTCTAATAGCATGCGCGCCACACGTTAAGCAGATGTATGTGCCCTTACTCGATGTGACCATATCGTGTGATGGGTCAACGTAACGAGCACCTATGAATACATTGCTCAGAGATCGGGCACCCTCGATCCCCGCACGAGGCTGGGCGCTCACGCAGGGAGTGGCTAACAACTCCTGGGCGGCCTTGTTACCGTGGGAATTCGTAGATATAACAGAGCAGCACACACTGCATGCGAAACGACATGTTAGTCCTGTCTCGCCTACTGGAATCAGGGTGTGCGCACTCTCTCGAAGCAGCCTGGCAAGCTTCGGTCGTGGGTTGAAACTGGGCCCCGGCTTCTTTTTGACCTGAACTTTTGCTCGGACACGGGGCCTGGCCAGGGGCCCCGAAGACTCGGAAAACCTCGAAATACAAATATCGCAAGCACGCGTCCTCACAGTTCGGGTCAGACTTTCGGCGATCTGGACGGCCTCGACCACACCAGGGGGAAGCTGGATCTGCTTGGACATAGTCTCCGCCAGCTTATCTGCGATATGATTACCAACCCACGAGAACAACAAAACTTATTTTTTTCAGCGGCCTGCTGAGGCGACATGTGCGACTCGATCTTCAAGACAGAGGTCGTCTTGACTCGTAGCAGGCGCTGGACATGGCGCCATTCGCTCCGATGTTGTTCTGGAAATATGCCGAGATCGATTTTGGCGACATTTCTCACAACATACGACCCCGGGTGCCTCCAGAAGACGTCCGAGCGGTTCTGAGGTCAGGAACGGGATTGGAAATATCGAAACCCTCGAAAACCATATAAGCCCAAGAAACACGCCGGAATCTTGGGTCTCCTGAGTACTTACCTCCAGAGACGTCGCCAGCTCCGACAATAAACTCAACCCCTTGTGGGAAGTCGCCGAAGGCGTGGTATAAAATCTCGGCTTCACCTGGAGGTCTTGGAACATGCGTCCACTCCGAAGGAGCGAGACCTCGAAGCCGCACTGCCGGCTGCGCCTCGACCTGGGCCCTTGCCCTGTGCGCGTGCAAATTGCTGCTGGCGACTGAGGGTAAGTCGTTGTTCGCAGTGCATTCCCAAATCCTGTGAAAAGTAGCCCCGGCATGTCCTCCGTCGCAGCGCTCGCACAACACCGAAACATCTGGCGGATCGATGACGTCTTTAATTCTCCGTTTGGCCCATTGGCCTCCGCAGCAAACGTTGGTGAGGGCTCCTGCCCACCGATAGTGTTCTCGATCTCTAGCTCGTCGAATTTGTTGCCTGACGTCCGCAAGGTCGATGTCGTGTTCAATGTTTTCACTCTCATAATGTTTCGCTGCACGTCTCCATAACATACGACGAACTGAATCAGCTAGCTCTTCTCGAATCTCTTCTAGGTCGAGGGGCCCCGCTTCGAGGATCTCTGGAGTAGCCTGGTAGACATTCCCAAGATCGGATACCCAATGCATAGGCCCCACAGGATCCCAGTTGAGGTCGAGCAAGGTGTTCACTACGGCCCTCGCGGGGCCCTTGACGTTCCGCCATCGATGCTGTGGGTTAGCTCTTGCGTGTGCAGCATGCTCCGCCCAATCTCTGGCAGCAGAACTTCTCTGCTCGACGCCTGCTGTGAGGGTGGTCATCCAGCTATCGAGCATCCGTAAAACTTGGCTGATGGCGGGGTCCTGTTTATTCATCTCAAGCTGGAGCAGGGTGTCCAAACAACGCCCTCTGACTGCAGCTGTAAAAGTATCTCCTATAGCTCTTCGCCATGCCCGAATAGCTGAGGGGCTCATGCCGTACACGTGCGCATCGCACTGAACTTTGGCCATGCTGCCTCTGTGTATGACACGCCGCGCTGCGTACCTGCCCGTTCTGCCTGCAACTTTAAGCTTTTGTGCTTTGCTGACTTGTTTCCATGCTGCAGTTCTTCTAGCTGCTGCTTTAGGACGTGCCCGCATGTTTGCTCCACGATCGACCCCAAGATCCACAGCTTTCTGAGCGACAGTGATTTTGATATGCTGGGCGAGCCTACGTGCGAGTTCGGTAGCTAGCCCTCTGCCCCCTGCGATAATTTTGCTTTTGCTTGCCATGCTGAGGTGCGCCTTGCTGCAAAGCCTGCCCAGTAGGGAACCCGCCTTGGTGAGGGCCTGCGTGAGGAACCTGACGGAGCCGAATGCGTATTGCGTGGTATCGTCTACCCAAGAACTAGTGATGACCGTAGGGTAGTACTTGTTGTGTACCGCTTCCAGAATACTATACAAATGGAATCTACCAAAATCAAGGCCTCGACGGGCTCCTGCAATGATGCTCTTGCCTGCCTGCACAGGCAAAGAAAAACAGCCTTCTTCTCGAAATACACGCATAGGGAGATGGGCGAGGCCCTCCATCAGGAGGACAAGAGGCGGGAACTGCAAAGCAAGACCCTGCTCGAAGAGTCTCTCGCATTCGAACGAGTCGTAAAACCCATCGATGTCCCGGAGCAGGCTGGCTGACACCGTGTGAATCGTTCCCATCTTGACAGCTTCGTCGGTGAAAGCTCTGAGTAGACCCACTCTGAGACAAGATTCCCCACGTACTGCATTATCCCATTTGCCTGCCATCTTCTCAACCCACTCTGAACTGTAAATTTGTCTCGCCGAGCTCCAGAGTCGAATGGCATCTGGGATCAATCTAATAGAACGATCCGTGGTTGGTCCTTTTCCCAGGAAGGCTACGATGGTGGTCTGAATTTGCCACGGCCATCCATCCTCCACGATATTCACAAATATTCGAACACTTGGTAAGATGCGAAATGCCAGCTGGGGGTAAATACTTGAGAGTGCCACCCAACTGTTCAACACCTGATGCTTTCTTGGATTCACAACTAATACCACCTGTTCGTATGTGAGAGGTGGCCAAGGATTGTCCCGAGCTCGTTGTTGGGCTTCTCGCAGGAGAGGAAACAACCGTTGCAAGGAAAGTATCTTGGAAGCCCATTTTTTCTGCCACAGCACACCCTTGCGATCCATGATGGCCCTGGTCGTCGCGGAACTCCGTCTCAATGCGGGTCTTGGGCTTGGCGTACCTGTGAAGCTTACCCACGTTGTGCTGGAATGATGACTGCACCCGCGACTGAAAGTCCTGATAGCTGTCGCGTGAGGCTTTCCTCTCCAGTGACTGACAGGTTTTCATTGCAGAACTTCCCATCAACGAAAGAGCTTCTTCAGAAAAAATGTGTATATTCATCAAGGCGCAAATCCAATCATACCTGTCTCTGCCCACGACTTGTCCGTGTCCTGAGGTCGGCATGCCTGCTGGCGCTTGCATGAGGCGATTAACCAAGAAACCGTGTCTCGGCTTGGTCTTTTTTTCGATTTCGAATCTGCGTGCATCGCAACGTGGGGGGGGGATGTGAAAAAGAAGGATGACCTCCGACCTGGCTCCCGAGACGCTCCCCCGCGTTAGGCCCTTGGGCGCCCCCCGAGTTGGTCCTCGCCGCAGACTCGCGGGGGAGAGGGGGGTCTGCGGTCGCCAGGTCTGTCCATGTGGGGGCTCCAGCCCCTGAAGACATCTTCGCTGGTAGAAGCCGTAGTAGCTCTTGAATCCAGCCTGAAACCTGTACCACCATCTGATAGACTTGTCCGAGCGAACGCAAGAAACTAACGGGGGCGAAAGAGGTAAAATCTTGAAATCTCTCGCTTCTCCTCGTCCTCGATACTGCAATTGTCTGGATGTCGGTACTTCAAGTACTCTGCGCAAAAAGGATTCCAAACAGCTTGTGAACTTGCCATATTCTGAACCAAGGGAAAGTGCCGAATCTGGGTCGTACTTGAAAGAATAGCTATCCTTGATCCAATCAGGTGGCGACGTCCAAGCGCTCTTGGTCAGGGTGTTGTCCGACATAGAATTCCACAGAGCGTCCAAATAATCGGTGTCCCACTCCAGATACTTTGCTGGCTGGATATCGGCTTTTCCAGTCTCCGTAGTATTGGACTTCTCGACCACTGAGGATTGCCACATCTGCTCGAGTGCGTCGAAATCGGAGTCGCATAAGTCTCTGTGCAGGAACCTCCGAGCCGTGTCTGGGAAAGGGGTAAACAGGTGAGGTGTTGTAACCGCGGGCTCGGGTTCTGGTTGATCGATCTGGTCTTCGTGGTCTGCTCGTCGTTGCCGTAACTGCTCTAACTCGAGCTTCTTCCCGGATCGTTTGCTGTTGGGGTCTGAGCTGATCTTAGAAGGTAAAGGTGGCAAAAAGGGCCTCGGCATATCCAGAACTCGACGCGTGATGAGGTGGGTCGCCATATTGAGTTCAAAAAAGAATACCGTAGTGATCTCCACCTTCCGCGCCCAACAATTGAGAACTGTGATACGCTGGAGATCTGCCTCGAGCTGTTGTTCGTGTCGAAGACGGGCATCTGCTGCTTCTTGCGCTCGAACTTGTACTTCAGCTCGGGCTTCTGCCAACCACTTCTCGCAGTCGGCCTCGTGATCCAGAGCCTTGGTAAGAGCCTCTCCAGCTTTGCGTGAAGCCACCGCCAGGCGCTGGGCTTCTCGCTCTCTCTCGAGGTCGGGCTTGGACTTGGGTGGGGCCTGTGGCTGCGAGTCTGCTGCTGACGCAGCAGCGACCTGCTTGAGAGCCTCGAGCTGCGCTCCTGCTTGCGGCAACCTGCGCAGCAGGGCGTCCATGAGCTGGTCGGTGGTCGGGGCGAAAGGGTGAGCGGTGCCGTCTCCGAGGAACGCTGTCGAAGTTGGTGGAGACGCTGTATCTTGAGTCCACTTCCCAGGCGGCAGGGCAAATGGACTGCTCTGCTTGGCGTACTGGAAAAGTGGTGGGCCCTTGTTCCATGAACCCGCATCTCGTGGCGGGGGCTGGCCACCGACTGGACGTAGCAAGCCACCACATTGCCAACAGGATGCGTGCTTCTTCCAATTCCATTTATAACGACACCCATCGTGAGGACAAGCAACGAAACAATGATACGAGTACTGCTGCTGCCTGCCCATGACTGTGCACGGCCCGCGCTGAGCCTAGCCGTGCTGAGGGATGTGCTGACCCTTGGGGCAAGGGCCGCACGCGCAGACCTGGGGCGGACCAGGTCTCGCAAGGATGAAAGCTGCCGCGGACTAGCGGTATCCGTGTCTGCCAATGCGGGCTCAGCCCGCCAAAGCATGAGCCTTGAGCCAAAATGGCTACGGAAGGAATGGAGGAGGAGGAGGAGGAGGAGGAGGAGGAGGAGGAGGAGGAGGAGGGGGCTCGGCCGCCGCGCCTGGGGTCCCTTTGTCGCGTGGGGCGCGCAGGCCTTGAGCCGTGGTGCTTCTCCTGAGGGCGGCTCTGGTTCTCGGCCTGCGCGGGCGGCGCGGTGCCGGCGGACTCCTCGGCGCTTCGGTTCTGTGGTGCTTTTGGCTCGGCTCGGCGGCCTCGGGCCTGGCGCGAGCCAGGTGATGGGCAGCCGCGTGGGCGCAGTCTTCCATGTCAGGCGACGAAGGAACCAGACGACGAGACGGTCGATCTTGGTCCTCGACGACCCAGGATCCCAGGCCAGACTGCACCGGCGAGGCCTGGTCGGGACTACGCAGTCTGACCTTTCCTTCCCCCCCGCATCCGGCCCCCTCCTCCCCGCCCCACTTTGTCCTCCTGTGCTCTACCTGCTCCTGCTCCCGCGCTCTCGATTCAGGTCCTGCTCCTGCTCGTCGTCGTCGGCGTCGTCGTCGTCTTCGTCGTCGTCGTCGTCGTCATCGTCGTCATCCGCGTTCTCCTGGAGTTGCTGCTACCGTTGGTCACTACTTGGGGTCGCGAAGCGGAACGCACTTGGCGCGTCGCGGCGTCGGACCGAGAGCTGTCCTTCTTCAAGGTCGGTCTCGCGAGGGCAAGGAGATACAGCCGCGCGTCCTGCACCGCGAGGCGCGATGCAAGAAGTTGGGTAATCTAGGCTGCTGCTCTTCCCCCATGCTTCCGCCTCCTCCTCCTCCGCCTCCTTCTCTTCTTCCTGCCGCCAAAGCCCTGCTCTGGAAGTAGACGCGCGGTGGACGGACAGGAGCGGACGGACTTCTTGCCCTCGTCTCGCTTCTTGCCCGCTTGCCCTCGTCTCTTCCTCTTTGAGTACGTGCACTCCTCTTCTTCCTCCTCCTCCTCGTCCTCCTCCTTCTCCTCCTCCTCCTCCTCCTCCTCCCTCCTCCTCCTCCTCCACCTCCTTCTCCTCCTCCTCCTCCTCCTCCTCCTCCTCCTCCTCCTCCTCCCCCTCCCCCCACAGTCCAAGCAACATTGCTCCGTCCCCAGTGGCCCGTGGGTGCCGGCGGAGGACGTCGTGAAGGCTGGCGGTGCCACAGGCCCAGAATCGTTCGGTGGAAGGAGTTTTGGGGAGGAGTTAGGAGCAGCAGGACGGCGAGGAGGAGAAGGGGGAGGAGGAGGAGGACGAGGAGAGGGGGATGGGGATAGGGGTGCAAGAGGACAATGAGGCGGGGGGTGCAAGAGGACCATGCGGAGGAGGAGCAGGAGTAGAGGAGGAGGCATGCTGATGACAAGGATGATACTGGTGATGACGATGATGATGATGATGACGATGCTGCTGCTGCTGATGATGATAATGATGCTGCTGGTAATGATGATGCTGCTGATCATGATGCTGATAATGATGCTGATGATGATGATGCCGACGATGGTGAGGATGCTGATGCTGCTGCTGATGATGATGCTGATGGTTATGATGATGATGCTGATGATGATGACGATGCTGCTGCTGCCGATGATGAGGATGATTATGGTTATGATGATGATGACGATGATGTTACGGCTGCTGATGATGTTGATGATGATGATTATGCTGCTGATGATGATGATGATGATGATGTGGTTGTTGATGCTGATGATGCTGATGATGCTGCTGATGATGATAATGATGGTGATGATGATGACGATGCTGACGACCACGATGATGATGATGATGCTGATGCTGATTTTGATGATGATGATGATGATGATGCTGATGCTGATGATGATGATGATGATGATGATACTGATGATGATGATGACGATGATGATGATGATGATGATGATGATGGTGATGGTGATGATGATGCTGATGATGATGATGATGATGATGACGATGATGATGATGATGATGATGATGCTGATTCTGATGATGATGATGATGCTGATGATGATGATGATGATGCTGATGATGATGATGATGAGGATGATGATGATGATGATGATGATGCTGATGATGATGATGATGACGATGATGATGTTGATGAGGATGATGATGAGGATGATGATGATGCTGATTCTGATGATGATGATGATGATGATGATGATGATGATGATGATGATGCTGCTGATGCTGCTGATGCTGCTGCTGCTGATGATGATGATGATGATGATGATGATGATGATGATGATGATGATTATGATCATCATGGGTGTGCGTGCGCGGACATGATTCGCGGGGAAATCGGGGCGTCGTTGTCTTGCATACCTTCAGCGCTTGTCTTGCGACCGCAGCCCTTTTTTGTCGTTTATCTTGCGTGCCTTTTGTCTTGCGACCGCGGCCTTCTTGGTTCGCCCAGCCCGCCCGTCCCTGGGACAAGGGGCCCTGCGATGAAACAGGGTTTTCAACTTGCTGTGTTTTGGTCCTTCCTCGGAAGGGGGCCTCTCGCCCCCATCCAGGAGCTCTACGGGGGCAGCTCGTTGATCGCGGCGAGCCATCGTTACCAGAACCCAGTTCCCCGCCAAACGAAACAGCATATCATGATGATGATGATGATGATGATGTGATGATGATGGTGCTGATGATGCTGACTTCTGATGCTGCTGCTGCCGAGGCTGATGCTGATGCTGATGGTGACGACGACGACAGCGTCGATGCTGATAATGATTCTTTGGGTGATGAAGACGATGAACACGTTGTTAGTGATGATGGGGACGATGGCAACGACGACGACGGCGACAATGGTGATGGTCATGGTGATGGTGATAGTGACGGTGGGGGTGACGGTGATGGTGGTGGTGGTGGTGGTGATGATGGTGACGATGGTGTTGGTGCTGATTCTGATGATGTTCTTATGAGGTTCTTATCTTTGGTGACGGTGACGGTGATGATGGTGACGGTGCTGGTGATGGTGATGGTGTTGATGATGATGATGAGGATTCTGATGATGCTGCTAATGCTGATGGTGATGGTACGACTGCTGCTGATGATGATGCTGATGGTGCTGATGCTTCTGATGATGACGATGATGACGATGATTCTGATGATGATGATGGTGATGACGACGACGTTGTTTTTGATTGTGGTGATGCTGATGACGACGTGGAGGATGAGGGAAATGAGGTGGAGGAAATGGAGGAGACAGAGTTGGAGTGGATGACCGCTCCACAGACCGACTGGATAACCCATCTTTTGACTTGGTATTGGACGTTGAGTGGGGCACGCGACGCTTTAACACGTGAAGCCAGGATTCTGCTGGAGCCGTGGCAGTGTCTCATGACACAGTCTGCCGCGCCTTCGCGCCCAGTCGGCACATCGGAGCCACATGAGTCCAACTGCTATGGCCAAGGCGGTTCGCTTTGCTAAAGTCGACGCCCGCCGTTTTCATTGAGCAGGTAATGGTTCTTCCTTGGTCCATCAGGCTTCCGTTGGTCGGCCTAGGCCTCCCGTGCATGCTTTGCCGAGGTGTTGTATGTTGCGTGCCGCCAGTAGGCCACAAGCGGACTTCAATAGGACCCCGTGGACCACGGGACCGCCCAAGTGGTCCAGGGGTCCCAGGGGGAGAGACAGAAAGAGAGAGAGAGAGAGAGCGAGAGAGAGAGACAGAGAGAAAGAGAGAGAGAGAGAGAGAGAGAGATCGAGAGAGAGAGAGAGAGAGACAGAGAGAGAGAGAGGAAGAGAAAGAGAGAGAGAGAGAGAACGAAAGAGAGAGGGACAGCGAAAGAGAGAGAGAGAGAGAGTAAGAGAGATAAAGAGAGAGAAATAGAGAGTAAGAGAGATAAAGAGAGAGAGAGAGAGAGAGAGACAGAGAGAGAGTGTGAGAGAGATAGAGATATACCACACATATATGTATATATATGTATATTTATAGAGAGAGAGAGAGAGAGAGAGATAGAAGCAGAGAGAGGGAGACAGAGACAGAGACAGAGAGAGAGAGAGAGAAACAGAGAGAGAGAGAGAGAAACAGAGAAAGAGGGAGAGGTCAAGGAGAGCGCGCAGGAGGGAGGCGTGGTGGCATGATGGAGGGGGAAATGCAGCGTGACGCGCTGGCTCTGCAGGCAAACCTGCCCCATTTCCCTCGATCAGCAGGACCGCCTCGCCCTTTCTGCCCGCCTGCTCCCCGCCTGCGTGTGCTGGGGCACCTCGTGCCTCGTTCTGTCTTCTCCCCCTCCCCCCCTCAAACAACATTTTTGTGTTAATATATATATATATAGATATAATATATATATATATACACACATACATGTATGAATTATTATTTTTAGTTTTACTATTATTATTAGTATTAGTATTAGTATTAGTATTAGTATTGTTATTATTATTACCACTACTACTATTATTATTACTATTCTTAATATTACTATTATTCGTAGTATTGTTCTTATCACTATTACTATTTTCAGTCTCACTCTTTTCAAGATGTCTGTAGACATCTCCCTATATATATACACAATCACACTTTTGTTTGATCACTCTTGTTCCCCCTCCATTCACCCTCCTCGTTCCTCGTCCCCCACCTCCGCTACCTCCTCCCCCTCCGTCTTGCCTCCTCCGTCCTCCTCCGTCCTGGGGTCTGTCCTTCTACTGCCCTCCTCCGACTCGGGGCGTGCCCTCCTCCGCCTTTGGGTGTGCCCTCCTCCGTCCTGGGGTCTGCCCTCCGCCGTCCCGGGGTCTGCCCTCCGCCGTCTGGGGGGGGCGCGGCTTCCAGGCGGGCGCGAGCGCGGCCCCCCCCCCCCCCCGACTCTTCTGGGCTGTGTGCGGACGCCACAGTCGTGGCATTTACGGATCTGCCATGTTTATGTGTATCCCGTTATCAGGGTTTCTTCTTCATCAGTACAAAAGCAAGAAGCCCATCCGAGCGCACCGAGGCTTCGGAGATGATCCCTCCGCGGTCCTGCCCGAGGTGCGGGTGCAGCTTGACGAGCGCTCCTCTGGACCAGCTGGCGAGTTGCACCCACGGGGCCGGCATCGTGGGATACAGTCGAAACCGATGATAAGGATGTGATCGTTTCCGGCGCACGTTTTCGGCGCATGTTTCAAGCAGGTGGAGGCTCGCCCCATAGGACGCACTGTTTCAAACAGTCGCGCTAAGCAGAGGTCCGCAGCCAGACCCCCCCCTCCCCCCCCCCCCTTCCGCCCAATGTCGAAACGCCGAATAAGAAAGCGCTCACGCTGGGTATGGTAGATTCTTGTCGTGTCGACCGGCGGCGACCCCGCCGCCGGCGTTCAACGTTGAACGCCGCCAGCGACACAGAATCGATCGATGTTGAACGATCTGACGTTTCGGAAGCGGCCCATCGTTCGAGTTTGAACGATCCCCGTGGTGTCAGAAGCCAATGCCGAAGTCGTCACGACACGAACCTGCCGTAGCCTTCCCAAGGGTACCCCTACATCCTTGAACTCTCGGTCCATCCTTAGCCACTCTCTATGGCCAGCCCCGCTCGAGAAGCTTCGACATGGGCGTCCCAAAGGGCTTGAATCCGTATCGCGCATCCTTATTACTAGCCGGCCGCTCTGCGCTTGATCGCGAGTTTCTGTATTTGACAGGAGGGGCGTGTGCTTGTGGGCGACAGGAAAAATAGCGGGAGGCGGTGGCATCTAGCCCCTCCTGCTGCTACGCTGGCAACCTCAATTTTTTCCTCCACATCCTCCCAGGAACCCCCCTGATGTCCCTGGAGGTCGTTCCTCCTCCACCTCCTCCTCTTCGACATTCTCCTCCTCGTCCTCCTTCTCCTCCGCCTCCTCCTCTTCCTCCTCCACCACCACCTCCTCCAACTCTCCTCCTCATCGTCCTCCTGCTTCCCCTCCTCCTCTTCTTCCTCCCCCTCCTCCTCCTCCACCTCCTCCTCCAATTTTTTTCCTTATAAATGATTCCTGCCTGGCGCACCCCGAGGCCGGTCGAAAGGGCGGGCTGGGCGTTTCGCTTGAGACTTCCTCGCCGTTTACGACCCTGAAGCTTAAACCGGCAAAAGTTTTACAAATGGAGGGCGGGTCGCTTCCAAAATGTGGCTCTCGCCTGAGAGCCGCGCGCATTTGTCCTGAAGAATTGTAAGAGTTTCGCGGATTGAGGGCGGGTGGTTTTCAACATGTGGCTCTTGCCTGCTCCGCGTACATTCGCTTCAAAAGTTTGCAATAGTTTCACGGATTGAGGGCGGGTGGTTTCCAAAATGTGGCTCCTGCCTTAGCGCCGCGCATATTCGTTTCAAACTTTGCAAGACCTTCACGGATGGAGGGCGGTTGGTTTTCAACATGTGGCTCTTGCCCTAGCGCCGCGTACATTCGCTTCAAACGTTTGCAAGAGTTTCGCGGATTTCGGGCACGATGTGGCTCTTGCATTAGCTCTGCGCACATTCGTTTCAACATTTTGCAAATCTTTCACGGACTGAAGGCGGCCGGTTTTCAAAATGTGGCTCTCGCCTGAGCGCCGCGCGCATTCGTTTTCAAATTTGCAAGAGCTTCACGGATGGAGGGCGGTTCCTTTTCAGAATGTGGGTCTCGCTTGAGCGCCGCGCCGCGCACGTGCACTAGAAATGATGGTTTGGACAGACGCATGATCGTCAGGACGCCACGGTTACGTTGATTCGCGGTGTTGAAGTTCCAGGAGTGATGTTCTGGCACATTTCAGGATCGCCAAGACCTTACAATCAGGTGAACTCGTGGCGTTGAAGTCCTGAGAAAGTTGTTTTGGCACGCTTCATGGTTTTACCCGCTTGTCCCCTAACGGGGCAATTCCCTCCCCTAACGGGGCAATTCCCTCAGTGCCTATGAGGAGGGAGCTTGGAGGAAGGGTGTATTCCAACATCGTTGGTGAGCCTTGGGTTTGCACTGGTCCTCCTCTTCCTCCTCCTCCTCGTTGCCCCAAGCCCCAGGTCCCCAACAAGACTCTGGAGTTGGCCCGTGTCAGGTGTTCGGAGTCCAGGCGGCCTTGGGTAGCAGCAGCGTCGCCAGCGGATGTCTATCTACTGATGGTTGGGGGCATAGGCTGGGATATTCCCTCGGCCACGATGTTGTCGACTGACGGGGGCTCCGAGGTGAACCTTGTCAGGCTGAGCCCAGCTGCGGTGCGCAGACTAGTCGAGGAAGGAGTGAGGCGCGAGTCTGATAGGCTTTCGCTCAAAGCTTTTTCCTGCCCCTGGGTGCTTCCGATTTTTTGGAGTAGCACGGGACTTCGCGGAGCTGGACCTCTCGTCAGCAGCGGGCCTTGAGGGCCCTGGTCTCGGGGGTGTGGTGGTCCCAGGCCCGCTTGCGCAAACGGGGGCTGGCCGCGTCAGGGGCGTGTACAGTGTGTGGGCACCCAGACGGCTCGTTGCGGCACAGGTGTTTTGAGTGCGATGCCCACGCCGCGTTGCGGCGGGACCATGTTTCTCCTGGCCTGCAGAGGCGGGCCCAGAGGGTGAAAGCTAGGAGTTTTGAAGCGGGGGAACGTTTTGCCAGGGGAGTTCTCCCTGATCCCAGCCCCGTGTTCGAGCTGCCGGAGAGCAGGCCCGACCAGCAAATTATCCACTGGTTTCAGCGGCCCGCGTCGGGCTACATGTCTGGTCTTTTGTTCCTGGACGGGTCCGCGTTGTTCCCGAGCTCCAGGACGCTTTCCAGGGCTGGTTGGTCTGTGGTCAGTTGTGACAGGTTTGGCCAGGTCCTGTCCGCGGCTTATGGGCCAGTACCGCAGGACCAGGCCCCTTTCCAGTCATCGAGGGAGGCTGAGGATTTTGCAGTCCGAATGCTGGCCCTCGTTGCGTTGCCGCCCGTCGATCTCTATATTGATTGTAAAGGCACGGTGTCGGCGCTGTGGGCGGGCCCTGGAGCGGGCTCGGGAGCGGAGAACCCCCGAGCCCATATGTGGGCTCTGTTCTGGGCGGCGTTCGAGCCGAATAATTTCACGGCCCGCAAGACGAAGGCCCATTGCAGCATAGTAAATGTGCAGAACGATCGTACCACCCTTTGGTGGAAGCGGGGCAACGATGCCGCCGATGAATTTGCGAAGCGTGGTGCCGCCCTCCACGGAGTGGGGGGGAGCGAGTACCACCTCTGGCGTGGCCTGGTTGAGGCCGTTCGTGAGGTGGGTCGGTGGAGTGGGCGTTTGCGCGCGTTGGTGGGGGACGGAGAGGCCTGCCAGGACCATGACGACCTAATGGAGTTGTATGCAGCTGGCAGAGGACGGGCGCAGGCGTCGACTGAGGCGCAGCCCGACGACGTGCCTGCTCCAGCCCCCGCCGCTGCGCCAGCGAGTGTGCCCATGCTGCAGTTGCCAGCAGAGGGTTTCGAGGCCTATCGTGACATGGGTTACTCTTTCAACGGCCACCCGATGCTGCACGCGACGGTTAATGTGAGGTCGGGCCATGAAGATGGCAAGGCCATTAATGTTTGTTGTGCTTGCGGTGCCTTTTTCAGCGTGGAGCGGCTTGCTCGAGCTCTCCTCAGGGCGTGCCTCCGTGAGAGCGCGGCTTCGGGCTTGAGGCGTCAGCTCGCGAGGATAGGAGAGCAAATGCCCGTCTGGCAAGGAAGGGCTGAAGGACCTGTCCTTGAACCCCCCCGAGGGAGTGCCGCGCGATGTTCGTGTGCGAATGGCCTCGATCTTCGGCCCTGTAGATTCTGCCCCTGGCGCCTCGGCTCAGGTCTTGGGGGGGGGGGGGGCTTCGGGGGGCGAGTGCCTTGGGGGGGGGGCGACGTCCCGAGCCGAGGCGCTGGGGACTTTCGGCTTCCTGGAGGGGGGCCTTCCAGCCATCCGCGCTGATGGGCTCCGCCGCTTGCGTAAGGAGGCCGAGGGGGGGCCCGAAGAGCCCCTGGACGGGGATTTTGAGGAGGCTTCCCTGATTCGGAGGCCTCCGACGCCGAGCGATAGCTCGACCGTACTGGCTTTAGGCCGTATGCCCATCTCACCTCCCCCTCTCCTTCCGTAGCCATTTTGGCTCAAGCCATTTTGGCTCAAGTCCGTCCCTTCTGGGGGATATCGGACTTGGCCGAAATGGTCACCGTGGCCGTCTCGTTCGAGGCCCCTTGGCCCTGCGCCGCGCCGCCCGCGTTCGTGGCCCGCGGTTCCATATGTTCTCGCGATGTCTTGCTCGGTTGGCTCCGGTCGAGCTGTTCCTGCCAGTGCTGCTAGCGTTGCTGACGTCTACCGGCGGACTGCGCACGATGCCGCACGTGCGTTCGGTGGCCGCCGCTCGCGTTCGCGAGTGCCGAGCTCTACAACTGGGGCCCTCTCGGCATCATCCACGCCTGCCTCCCCATCTTGACGCTTTGCTTCCGCGCGCGCCTGCCACCCCGCGCACGTGGCCATCGACCATCCCGCTGGGCACCTGCTCGGGCGAGAACCTGCACCGCGTCGCCAGCTTCATTCGCCGGCTCCACAGTCCTGCCACGGCGCGTGAATGCGAGCAGCAACACCTACGGCATGGCGCTGGACCGCTTCCTCCTCGTCCCGAAGTCGCCCCTGCTGGCAATCTACGTCCACAAGGTGGGGCTGGCCCGCTTCCTCGTCCTGATGCTGGTGGAGAGGCTGACAGTGCCTCCGTGCGTGTCCCTCCTCTGGGCCACCTTCGTCCACATGGTGCTGGCCCGTTTCCTGCTCCTCCTGGCTCTGCCGAGAGCAGTGGCCCCATGCGCGACCACCGCTCCGACGAGCGTCATGGCGAAGACACCCCTCTGCGCGAACCTCTTGCCGCTGCTGCTGCTGGTGGAGATCTACGCGCTCCCGAAGAGCCTCCCGGAGAGAAAGCGCATCTGCGCGAACCTCTTGGCGCCGCCGGTGGTGCCCTGCCTGCTCCCGATCAGATTCAATGTGAAGACGTTCGGCACTGGCCTCCTGATGCCGCCGCAGGTGGCGACCCGCATGCTCCCTTAGAGCACTCTGGTGAAGACGCCCCTCTGCACGAACCTTCTGATGCTGCCACTGGCAGCGACCTGCATGCCCCCGCACAGCTTCCAGGTGAAGACGCCCCCCTGCACGATCCTTTCGATGCTGCCACTGGTCGCGACATGCATGCTCCCGACGCGCCTCATGGTGAAGAGACCTCCCTGCGCGTACTTCCTGCTCATGCAGCTGGTGGCGATCGGCGCGCCCCCGAAGAGCTACAAGGCGAAGGCGCTCATCTGCTCGATCCCCCTGATGCTGCCGCTGGTGGCGTCCCGTATGCCCCTGGGCAGTTTCACGGTGAAGACGCCCTGCTGCGCGAAGCGCATGCTGCTGTCGCTCGTGGCGACCTGCCTGTGCCCGAAGAGCTTCCTGGCCTGCGCCAACGAGTCCCTTCCTCACCTGCCTGCTGCTGCCGACACTGGCGGTGGTCTCGCAGGTCGACCTCCTGAAAAACAGTTTGGCGATGTGCACGACCTCGCTCCTGACGGGCTTCATGGTGATGCTGCTCCTCTGCGCGGGCCCGCTGCTGGCGTCGCTGGTGGCGAACAGCATCGTCCACCAGTTCTGCTGCCCGCACCTGCTCCTGAATAGCCTCATGGTCTCGATCGCGCTTCTGCTGCCGAGGGTGCTGAACCCGTCTGGAATTTGGCATGGTGGGATGACGATGACGACGGCCCGCTCTACCTGTCGCTACTTGCTGAAGCTGGTGCTGCGGGTGTCGGTCCTCCGTGTCGCGTGGTCGATGCTGCTGATTTCGATGGTGCACCTTGTCTTGATGCCCGTTCAGCCCCTCAGCCCGCTGGTGTCTTGCCATCTGCTGTGCGACGGGTGCGGGATGAAGAAGGTGATGAGCTCCATCATGGGCGCGTGATGCTTGGCGCCCGATTCTTTCGACATTATGACCTTTTGCTGTTTCGCACCTGCAGCAAGGCTCTCTTCGCTCACGTTGACTTCGTCATCATGGCCGGCAACTTCGACCCGTTCGGCGTCAAGGTCGCCGACTCCTTCGCCGCGGCGGGGGCTTCCCCCGCCATCGTCTCTGCTGCTTCTGTGGGCGCAGAGATTGACGCAGACACTCCGAACTTCGTGTTCGATGAGGCGTCCCACAAAGTTAACTCGTTCGTGACCACCGACTCCTGCTCCGACTTCGCCAGCGACGCCGTGCTCCTGAGTGCCTCGGAGGGCGCGCGGTGGCCCGCTTAGGCGCGGCAGGAGGATTGTGGCCCCCAGGGACGCTCGCTCCTCCTCCTCTCCTCCGTTCTCCTCCGTTTTCCTCCCTGCTCATCCTCGTCATCGACCTCGGGGCCTCCCTCGGGGGGCGATTTGGCGACTTTGCAGGAGTGCCTCGAGCGGGAAGGGAGCCTCAGATTGGGACGCGCTCAGGTCGACTTCTGCGAGGGCCCCGCACGGGGACACACCTGGTGCGCTGGGGGTCGATTTTGGGAGGATGTATGGAGCTATGTTCCCGGACCGGGACACGCCTGGTGCGCCTCGGCGCGCCCTGGCGCGCGCTTCGTTGGGGCGCGGGGGGGCCTGACTTTCTGGCGCGCTGGGGGTCGACCGCGGGAGGATGTCTGGAGCGAGAGAGCTCTGGGCTGGGACACGCCTGGGGCGCTCCGGCGCGCGCTCTGGCGCGCGCAGAGGCAGATCCCTGGAAGTGGTCCCTATAGGGGCGCTGTGGGGCCCGACTTGCTCATGCGCCGGGGGTCGAGTTTGGGAGGACGTCGCGAGCGAGGGCCCCGGGCTGGGGCACGCCTGGTGCGTCCATGGCGCGCGTCTGAGGGCCTCCTTGGGTAGGCTCGGGGTGTCGGTTTTCTGTCAGGAGGGGAAAAAACACACAGACATAATTAATCGCCGATTCCCCAGAAAATGTGGGGAAACATGGGAAGGAGGGGGGATGACAAAAACCAAGAAAATATGGGAAAATATCGGGAATATGGTTATTTGTGTCTATTTATTTGTGTGTCCCAGTTCCCCTTCAGTCTGAGGATGTCCCACGCGAGGGCGCTGGTTTGGAATTCGTCGCCGGATTGTCTGGAAACGGAGCAGGGGGCCCTCTAAAGGCCTCCTGGGGGAGGCTCGGAGAGGTGGTTTTCTAAAAATGTCCCAGGCGAGGGCGCCCGTTTGGAATTCGTCGCCAGATCTCCCGGACTACAGGAAACGCCTTCTCGGGACGAGGAGGCGATGGGAGTTTGTTAGGCCAAGCTCTCTCATAACAAATAAAGAGCAAACTCGCGAGGGACAGCTGGCTCCATTGCACGGGACACTTTCGCTCGGCGGATTATACGAAGCGCCTTCTCGGAACGAGAAGGTGAAGGGAGTTTGTTAGGCCAAGCCATCTAAGAACAAATAGAGAAAAACTCGCGAGGGACAGTTGGTGCCCGACTGCACGGGGCTTGTCGCTTGGCGGATTGCCCTCAAAATTGTTGTTTCGCTCGAGACATCCTGGAACAATTGAGATGTTGAAGCCGTGTGGTGAAGGCGTTCTTTGTTAAGATGAGGCTCTCGCTCGAGACATCCTCGGACAATGAGGTACTGAGCTCGCTCACGAAATTCAGCGAATAGTTGGAAATTGCCGTTTCGCTCAAGACGTCCTCGGAAAATTGAGATGTTGAAGCCTTGTGGTTAAGACGTCTTTTGTCAAACATAAGGCTCTCTCTAGAGACCTCCTCGGGAAACGGCACTCGCAGCATTTTAGCTCGAGGTCCTGTCTCCTCCGTCTTTTCCGTCTCCTCCGTCTCTGAGGTCTCCTCCGTCTCTGAGGTCTCGCTCGAGAGCTCAAACGAAAAGTGCGGCTGCGTGGGCTGTGTTTCTGGAGCCTCACTCAGCCTCTGTACCCACTAATAAGCAAGCGGCTCCGAATACGATTCACAGATGTTGTGTTGTCCCAGGCCCCGATAATAATGATAATAAGGAGGAGGAAGAAGAGGAGGAGGATGAGGTGGAGGGGGATGATGATGATGATGATGATGATGATGATGATGATGATGATGATGATGATGATGATGATGATGATGATGATGATGATGATGATGATGATGATGATGATGATGATGATGATGATGATGATGATGATGATGATGATGATGATGATGATGATGGAGAGGAGGAGGAGGAGGAGGAGGAGGAGGAGGAGGAGGAGGAGGAGAGGAGGAGGAGGAGGAGGAGGAGGAGGGAGGAGAGGAGGAGGAGGAGGAGGAGGAGGAGGAGGAGGAGGGGGGGTTGCAAAGCCTGCTGCGCGCAGCTGGTTTCGGTCGCCCCGCCGAAGGGCCAGTCTTCGACGCATGGCCGCTTTCGGCTCCAGGGGGCGCTTGGAAAATCGGCGATGTGAGCTGCTTGGCAGATCCTCCCTTTGCTGCGCCCCACTTTCGTCCAGCCCGCCTTGCCCGCAGGCCCGCGTCGGTTCGACAGAAAGAGGGGTGCCCTGGCTCGCCCTTGCGTCCAAACACCCCCCCTTGCCCCTCGTTGGCGGCCGGGCGTCGGCGCTAATCACCGGCGCCGCCCCGTTGGTTATCAATCTGGCGGGCACCACCCCGCGATTCGCCGGAGCAGGGGAACTATTTTTTTGAAACGCGCGCCCCCCACGTATTTGTTATTCACAAGCTGACATTGCGGGTGAGCCTCATGGGTTGCCTTTGGATGGAGTGTCCTGAACTGCTGTGGAAGAGTATCACAGCTTTTGGGTGCCTGGGCCGCTTTGTGAGCGGATGAACAGCCTGGGATCTGCAGGTGTGTGTACGCGTTTGTTGCTTCGTGATCTTCCTCACGCCCCATCATTGCCCCTCCTCTTTTGACTCCCCCTCCTCGTACTCGTCCTCTTCCTCCTCCTCCTGTCTCCCTCCCTCCTCCTCCTCCTCCTGGCAGGAGCATCGTGCTCAGCATGCGCAGCTCGGAGACGCCCGCGGCCGCCAGGGCGCGCCCGGCCGCCGTCTGCTGAACGCCCCCACCGAAGGAATCGAACAGGGCAGGGCTGTTTAGTAAACGCCCAAGGTCGTTGAAAACGCGAATTGCCCGGTCCGGGTGGTTTTTGTCCCCCTAGAATGTTGGCGAATCCGTAATCTATCTTGGGCGGGCGGCCCGAGCTCGGCAAGCACGTTGGCCCGGCCACTGCCAGGACGTCCTGCCAGCCAGCCATGCCAGGAGGAGCCCACGCTCGCACCATGGAGGGCGATGTTAAAATCACCGACCAACAGCGCTGGCACATCTCCAAGCGAGGGGATCCAAGACACGGCAGCCATCAGCAACTCCTCGTTGTCTTCGGCCGCGCAGGGGCCGTCAGCGTAGCCGCGCACCTGGGCGATGCGCAGGGCCCGCTGGCCTCCGAGACGCAGCAGGGCACACTGCAACCGGCACGCTTGCTCTGCGGCGAGGCTGGCCATGCCAACCGAGCGGAGGCCGCGCAGCCCCTCGCGGCGCAGGAACGCCAGGAAGTGAGTGCCATCACTGGCAGGCCCGAGCTGCACGCGCAGGTCTCGGCGCCGGGCACCCTCAGCAGCCGCCGCCACCGAGCCTGCGTCTGCTGGCACTCGCGCCTCCTGCACGCAATCAACATCAGCATCGGCAGCCAGCAGCCCGCGCCAGCTGGTCCGCCAGCTAGTGACGTTAGCCACCAGGAGTCGCGCTGGAAGCCCAGGGTGGGACGCCTCGCCCACGGCACGGCCATCCACTCCACCCCGTAGCCAGCAGCCAGCACCTTCGCAGCCGAGCCGCATCGCGCGCCACATCAGCGTCACAAGACTTGCCCCCATCGGGTGGTGCAGGGCCGCTGCCGCCTGAGCGGTTGTCGGAGCCGTGGCCTGGCAACCCAGCGCCGGCGCCGTGGCCAGCGGCCCCAGAAGGGCGGTTGCCGGAGCCGTGGCCTGGCAACCCAGCGCCGGCGCGCTGTCTGGGGTTCCCAGAAATGTGGTTGCTGGAAGCCTCGCCCGGCAACCTCGCGCGGGCCGCGCCCCGATCTGGCCGCCGGGCGGCCTCGTCGGCCCTGACAGCGGTCCACGCGAGCAGCAGCAGCAGCAGCAGCAGCAGCAGCAGCAGCAGCAGCAGCAGCAGCAGCAACCAGGCCGCCCTCAGCGGCACCCTCAGCAGCACCCCCAGCCCCCAGCAGCAGCAGCGCGGCCGGCGGCCCCCGCGGGAAAGGCAGCGCGCGAGCCCTCCGAGCTGCCCCCGGCGGCGCCCCCAGCTGCAGCGCGGACAGCGGCCTCGGGGCCGGGCGAACCCCACGGGCCGCCTCCAGCGCCCCCAGCGGCAGCGTCGCAGGCAGGGCCCGCGCCAGAAGCGGGCGAGCCTTCCAGGCGGCCCCTGGCAACGCCGTGGCCAACGGCACTGGAATGGCGGTTGCGGGTTGCCGGAGGCCTCGCCTCGCAACCTCGCGCAGGCCGCTCCCCGATCTGGCCGCCCGGCGGCCTCGTCGGCCCTGGCAGCGGCCCACGCGCCGCCTCCCGCGCCCCCAGCAGCAGCGGCAGCATCGCAAGCGGACCCCGTGAGGGGGGCAGACGAGCCCACCAGGCCGCCCCCAGCGACACCCCCGGCGGCACCCCCAGCAGCAGCAGCGCGGCCGGCGGCCCCCGCGGGGAGGGCAGCGCGCGGGCCTTCAGAGTCGCAGCGGGCGCACCCCCAGCTGCAGCGCGGCCAGCGGCCTCCAGCGGAGGGGTACCTGCGCCCCCAGCGGCAGCGTCGCAGGCGCCAAGCAGCCCCGGCAGCGCTTCCAGCAGCAGCGCAGCCAGCGGCCTCCGCCCTGCAGAAGGCTGCGTCGGCTTCTCTGGCTCCCCATGCGGCCACGCAGGAGGCGTCGACGTCCTCGGAAGCCTCCCCGACGGCGGCGGCGGCCTCCCTGGTGGGCGTCGGGGGGGTAGTCGCCCTGCAGTGGGGCGCACAGCATCGCCGACGCCGGCGTCGGCAATGCTCAGGCGCCAGCTGCGCCCCCCTTTCGAGGCTCCGCGAGCGTCCGCGCCTGCCTGGGCTGCCCGGCGGCGTGGAGGACGTTCGCGAGCGGTGCAGGCATTGCCCGAGCGTGACCTGCCGCCTGGCCTCCGCCGCGTGGTGAGCGGCGGCCACCTCGCGCCACGACCTGTGCGCGGCTCGCCCCCCCCATTAGCGCCCCCGTCGCCGCAGACTGGCGGCAATTCGTCGGGAGCGGCGGCAACCCCATCCGCCTTTGCTGGCGGCGCTGCGCCAGGCACTGCAGAGCCCCTGGTGATTCCATCACCAGGACCTCCGCGAACAACACCGACGCCTGCTCCGGGTGCAGCGGCAGGCGCGGAGGCGGCGGGACCGCCCGCGGCCGCCGTCAGACCACCGGCAGGGGCCTTCACAGCGACCCCGCGCACCGCAGTGGCGACGAGAGCGCGAAATTGTTCGACATGTATGGCGGCCTCGCTTCCGCCGCCTCCGCCAGCTGCCCCACCACGTTGCTGCAGCGCTGCGGTCGCCGCCGCAAGCGTGTCGAAGGCTGCGGCGACCCCCACCTCGGCGCCTTGGTGAGCGGCGTTGCTGCCGCAGGCGGCGCCGAAGCTGGGGCCGCCTCCGCCTGCAGAGCTGCCAGCGCCGCATCGGCCTGTCGTAGGGCCTGCTGCGCCTGTACCTCCTCGCACTCGAAGTGCTGGACGGCCCGCCGCGCCTCGGCCAGGTCCTCGGTGGCAGCCTTGAGCTTCGCAGCAACCGCCCGCTGCGAGTCCGTGGCGGCCTGCACGCGGACAGCCTACGGCCGGGCTGCCTGCGCCGCCTGCTCCAGGACCTGTATCTGGCGATCGCAATCCGCCACGCAGTGTTCCACGCCATAGCGGTGAGCAGTGGCCCGGCGCTCGCGCCAGTACCGGAGCTCCCGCTGCGCAGGGGTCAACTCCTGCTGCGAACCAGCATCGACAGGAGGCGGCATGGGAGCGTCGCCAGCCGGCGCCGCTGCGCCAGCGGACGGCGAAGGGAGGATGCGCTTCACCATCTCCGCGTAAGAGGCCGCACCCGACACAGTCTGTTGGTCGCCACCTCCCCCACGCTGCGAACGCCGCTGCCCCATCTCGCGCGTCGGAGGCGCTGGCCGGCGGGACCTTGGCTGCCGCCCGTGACGCGTCGGCTATCCGCTGCAGCGCCGGCCGATCGCACCGCAAGCAGCGCACGCGGCATGCCCAATTGCCTGCGTGCCCACATTGACAGCCCCAGCATGACTCCCGCGGCCCGGGGAGGACAGCGGCGTCCGCCTGCTTGCTGCCAGTCCAGGCCCGGCCAGCAGCTCGCCCGCGCATCCCGGGTTGCGCGCCTGTGGTGCGCCTGCAGGAGTTCCGCCGCCTTGCCCAGGCAGAGCAGAACCCGCACGCGCGCGCTGGGAGCGGGCGCAGCGATGCCACGCGGGCTCCCCAGCCAGGGGAATCGTGGTCGCCGGAGCGACTCGCCAGAGGCTATGGCTGGCACGCGTGCGCCCCCGCGCACGCCCGACGGCTTGAGCCTTGAGCCAATGGCTTGAGCCAAAATGGCTACGGCAACACAGCTCCATGGCACAATAGCATCACCATTGATATCTTCAGCGTTGCCACTGCCCACCGCGGGGTCTGTCCGATGGGCAGCGTGTTGTGCCCATAGGGGGGTCGGATGCGGAAGAAGCGGGGGGAACAATGCGGGGAAAGAAAAAGAGAGGAGGGAGAGGCTAGTAGGACGCATTCGGGGACGCGAGGAAGACGGGGCAGGGGGCAGGGCGACGGGGAGAATCGGGGGAATGGGAAGCGGGAGGAAGATGATTTGGGAAGGGTCTGGGGCAAGACGGGGGCAAGAGGAAGGACTGGGGGGAACGAGAAGGGGATGGGGGGGCAGAAGAGGGAGGGACGTTAGCAAACCAGCTGCGCGGCCCAGTCCCTGCCCAAAATTCCTGGCGACGGCCACGGCGCCCCCGAGGGCGAGACTATCTCGTTCTCGAACCGAGTGTCCACAAGACAACTGGTGCCCTGGGATGAGTGGCCGAGAACCCTCCACCGCGCTCCAGTGCTAGGTGAAGCGCCCCCAAGTCCTCCCAGCCCCTCTGCAACGCGTCCTGCAAGTCCCCCTTCGAGGGCACGGGGCTCCGGTCCGCCCATAACGGTTGGGCGTCTCCGGGCGCTCTCGAGGGTTGCCGCGCAACCCTCCTGGAGGCCCTGGGGGCGTGGCTGGAGATCCGCATGTGCCCGCCTGTCCCAAGATGGCCCCCGAGGGGAAGTCCTGGGCTTTCGGGGATGGACAGAGCCCCATTGAGTAAAACGTGGGTTGGCGAGAACGACCTCGGGCCCAGACCTGGCGGACGCAAGCCTGGAAAGTAACGGCCGCGGCGCCCTCTCGAGAAGCGAAGACGAACGGTTCATTAATCGACGTGTCGGGGTGGGGGCTCTGTCCACCCCCGAGGATCATCTCGGGGGCCTATTGTCAGGAGGGAAAAACCACATAGACACAATTAATCGTCGATTCCCAAGAAAATATGTGAAAATAAAAACGCAGAAAATATGAGAGAATATTGGGAATCCTTTTATTTGTGTGTATTTATTTGTATGTCTCAGGGCCCCTTCATCTTGCGCCGTCGTGAAGGCCCCGGGGGGCGGGCAAAGAACGGCGGAGCCGTCGAGACGACTCTGCGCTGCTGCGCGGCTTCAGCACGACAGGTACTTCGCTTTGGAGCGTCTCCGAAATGGCCCACGAACGTTGTGTTTCTTTGTTCGGCAAGCTAAGTAAGGGATCCCGAAAGACAATTCAAGTAACTTTAAACAGAAACTTTAAAGTAACTTCCGCCGAGAAGAAGAAAGTAACAACAAAGTAACAAAGAGTAAGCCGCTCAGAAAAAAGGTGACGTTTGAGAACGGTTGTCAAACAGACACGCGTACTTTTGAACGTAACGAAGCCTCGTTCGTGACGAACGAAGCTTCCGTCATCGCCCTCGCGCGGCCCCGACGCCCCCGAAAAAGCT